TCTGATTACTCACAATGGCTGGTATCGCTTATTACACCATTGCTGGCAAGCAGGTCGCCGGTCACCACGTTCGTTCAACCTCAATTGCGGTCGCCGCAGACTAGAGACCTCTATAAAACTAACATGAATGACAGCTCGCCATCGCCTGGTTGGGAACTCTCGTCGTCGGCACCAAGCTAGCCCTCTCTGGCGGCTCTTCCAAGCCCACTGCTACCGCTACTCCTCCCATCAACGCCTCCAGCTCCGACGAGGCTGACTTCATCAAGTGCGCGAATTCACCTGAAGATGCTGAGCTTTCATGGACTAATCCGATATCAGGAACTTCCTTGATCAGCAGGACAAGAAGAACTAGACGGTTGAATCGAGGACGATGGTTGTATGGTTGTTTGGATGCGGTGTACGTTTATAAGTCATGCAGACATGAGCTGTCCATCGAGCCGGACAGCCGAATTCAGATACCAACAAAAGCCGGTTTCGCCAATTGTGGCATAACGAAGTACTATGACCCATGTGATGCATTTGAGGATACCTTACCGGCTTAAAGTGCGACTGTGATTGATGCGGAGCCGACTGTATGATAAAGAACTCTGATCCAGAAAATGCCCTTCGATTTTCTGTGGACTAAAGTTTCCGGGGAGCTTCTCAGTGGTCATGATATGAAGGAATGCTAACTGTCATGTTTCCCACGACGATTCACAGCGAGTGCGGTCCCGTCACTTGGAGACTTTGATCCTACCTGTCACTGGTATCCCCATCTTGCACAGGGAATTCGAGGATTCATGGAATACCAATTCGAGGGGTCTAGATCACATTGAACCGAGTCTCTAAGGAAAAGGGGCTGAGTTTAACTGAGCATCCTATCGTCTGTCATCGTGCTTCGCAGTTCAATATGTGCCTCATCGATCGACACTGATCCACTGGATCTGTTGAGACTTCAGCATCGCTACATGAATGTTACTGGACCCGTATGCAGAGATATAGCTGATTCTCTCCTACAAATCATATATGGGCTTAGACTTGAAAAAGAAGACAAACTCCCTTTTCTGTTACAAGAATATCCAATTCGCTGTAGATTGATGAAGTGAGCTTCTTTCTTTTCGTTCACCCTTTCCATAAGGGGCAATGTTCTCGAAGCAAGGATGCATGTAAGAAAGCGTAAATGGAAGACAATCTTATCGCCCTGTCCACAGTCTTACAGTGCATGCGGTTATCATTTAAATCTATAATCTCTATTACACACATATGTGCGGTTCTACTTTTGGTAAATACAACAACGCTAAGATACAAAGTAAAATGAGCAGTGTCTTATCAGTTCGATACATACTCCAAAGATGCTTGTCCTGTTCGGCCGAGCTGCCACATCCTCAAGGCGGACATCACCACCATTAGAGACCACCGATCTCCAAGGTTCTGCTGCATTGCTTTATCAGAGAACTCAATCTTGCATGTCTTCCATGCTGCCTCCTTCCAGGAGGCCATGGCGAGGTATTCCAATGGCGCCTTCATATCTCCAGTTCGATAGAGCTTGAATTCGTGGCAATATTTAGGATCCTTGGCCGCTTGGAGCGGTGTCATGGACCACTCGAATTCTTCGCGAATAAAGCTGCAGTCTTGGACTGCCTCTGCTTGCTTTGTTTCTATTGCCCATCGGAATACCACGCACTGCTCGGTTTCATCGTATAGTGCCTGTACGATCTCAGTGGCAACCCTTGTATCGATGTCTGACCCAGGGGCTGCGGATACATTGACAATACTCTCTACAACACCTGGGTCAGATAACCCGTCACGCAGCGTCTCGCCAGCTGCTGCTAGTATTTCGTCCTTTCCGGTTGGTCCGTTGTGGAGGAGAAGACAAGGCGAACCTGAGTTTCGGCCAAAAAGTCCAGAGTGTTCTGATACAGCAAACATCTTTGAGCAGCCATCATTGCCGAGAAAGAAAGTTCGTAGTTTGTTCCATTGCCAAGATATCTTCAAGGCTTTTGGTATTGGGCGATATGGCGTGTCCACACACTCGCTGACCAGGGCTGTACTGGATGGAGTGAGGGAGTTGAAGAGGGCAATTCTTGTGGAGGAAGATGTCGTCGAAGCAGCCGTTGAGGATCTAGCGGTTCCTGGAACTCTATAATGTGGCATGGAGCCATCGTGGTCTCCCAATGTGCTGGCCATGGTGGATGGATGATTCTTCTGGTTGTTCTGGAACAAGTCGACGACAAGGGTAGGGAATGATGTATAGCGAGTAGCGGTGGCAATGTTTGCGTATTGACGACTACCTACAGTACATATAAGTCGTTATCTCAATCAATGTCTGGCATATTAAAAAGCAAGAAAGGGGACTGAAACGGCTGGAGAGGAACAGAAATATCACACAGTCAGCCAGTCAGGTACATGTCGACTTATTAGTGTGTCGGCAGATCGCCATGCAGACGAAACTAGTGCGCACATGTTCAAAGTTCTCGAACTCCCAGCCAAGTGGCGACATGGTTCATGCTCAAGCGGGTATACCTGATCAGGAAGTTGACGGACATATCGAGAGCCGCTAGTCATGTAATCGAGTCTCTAGTTTGCTTTATCAGAGTCTGACGAGTTCTTCTGGGGATAGCTTAAACGAGTCTTTATGATAGTTTGAGGTTAATGCTTGTAAGGAGTAGGCGAACGAGGAAACTATTAGAGCAGTATTTATGTTTTTCTTCAACCTGATCATCCGTTATCCGTTGCACTACCTAACAAAGAGTCAGTGCCAGGCCGGCCCGGAGGTTGTATTCCTGTCCCTCCCGTTTCTACCCACTCTCAACGGTTGGCCGAGTTATCCAACTGACACATGAGCTCCTGATTTATACTCAACTTGGCATAAATCTCTAGTGACAGCTCTTAAGAGTTTGGATATGACTGTAACCATATGCCTTGGCAAATCGTCGTCGCGAGGACTTTATCCTCTCACAAGGACTGATCATGACATGCATGCGTTTTTCTAATTAGGTAACATGGAAATTTGTGCCGAAACGGAGGAAACCCCATGTCCAATTATCCTGGCATGCTTATGGCCATGACCCTTGTGGACATCCATGCTTCTATCAAAGTTGCTGAAACAATCAGGACTAGCGATTCAGTCTAGTACGTTATCGAGGAGGCGTATATCGAGGCCATCAAACAGCATTCAATATCATGAATATCATTGAGACAAGGATACAAGAGCACAGGTGAAGTTGATAACAAGACGAAAATCAAGGCCATGGCTCTATTTCAAGGGTATTCTAGTCTCAATAAATGTCATGATCATGATTAGTTTTGTTCTGCAATACGATTACCTAATCCTCCGTTTGGCGCACCTCCCTCTTATTCATTGACAATTGCGTCACGTGACAACCATACAAAGCTTACTCCTCCCCCGCCATCGACATTCTCTCGCCAAACTGCCATCAACTATCTCCTTAATCGAAACATCCCACCTCCCCCAAGCGCACGTCCTTCGGTTACAACGATAGCCTCACCATCTCCAATTCAATACCCCCAAAATCGAGAACCCACACCTTAAGGAGATAGCCGTCCTGGGCATGTCGGCTGCTACCACCGACCCGGCCCTTGTCGCCGCTCCCGCCCCGGATCTCTCTCCTGTTGATGCCGTCGCTCAGGTAGACCACGATGTCACCTCCGTTGACCATGTCGGCGATCACGTCGGCGCATCGCCAAAGGAGAGACATTCCCTAACACTCGACCAACGCCGTGCTCTGCGTCGGTGGGCGAATAGCCAGCCTATCCGTCCCTCGCACAAGGCTTGTATCGAATGGTTCTTTTCTCAGTATGGCCAGCAAATAAGCCAATCCACCGTGTCACACTCGCTGTCACCCAAGTACTCGCGTCTAGATAGTGACAATCCTCAACTATCCGGTTCCCGTCTGCGCTACGGAAACTGGCCTGATGTAGAGAAGCTCGTCCTTATATGGTATCAACAGGTTCAAGCATCTGGTCGCCAACCGACCAATGAAGAACTTGGCGACAAAGCAAAATCAATATTCGGACAGTTGCCGCGATATAAGGATGAAAACCCCCCTGAATTTTCTCCAGGTTGGATTCATCGATTCAAGAAGCGCTATGGACTTTTGATCAGACGACAACGCCGTCATGGGGATGGAGGAATCAATGCTGCCGAAGATATAGGATACCTGGCAGATTGTGTGCCTCGTTACATGAGCGTCGCCCCTGACACAAGTCCAGCTGCGATCAAAGAAGAAATCATTCGCGCTGTTGGTATCGAACCCACCCTCAACACATGTGCCTTGGTGCGGGATGAAGTGGTCCGTAGAATGACAGGCCCTCCTCAACAAGTGCCTCCACCACCTCTCATGATGACGCATGATCCCCCTTCAATCCCGCCTCCTCAGCCTGACCAGCCCATCTACGCCGATGATGATCCTGAAGTTGTCTTACAGAATGCTTTGCGCCAGCTTCAGCAAGAAGAACAAGCAGCCGAAGAACAGGCGGCGGCTGTACGAGAAGAGCGTGAACGCGCTGAAAGAGCAGGGCTTCAGCCTAATAGCATTCTGACCACACCGACCGTGCGTGCTACTTCCGTCCAGCGCTACACGACCACACCAGCGCACGAGATGGCTACTAACCTCACCCTCACTCCCATTACTTCGGAACAGCCTATAACCCAAGACGATCGGCCCGTGCGATGCCCATTCTGTGTTAATCAACGAATGCTGCGATCAATCAAAGAGGCTGTGGAGCATCTTTCTACTCACGTTGTTGTTTGAGAGTTTGTTGGAGTATCTAGAACCGCCAGGCTTGTGCGGGAGTACTGGTTGACGACTTGGTTTTTGGAGTTTCGGTAGACGAATAATGTGGAGTTCGGGTTTTAAATGTTTGTGAAAACGCACCTCAGTTATCTTTATAGGAAGCAATGCTACATGACTCCCTGCGATTTGGTCTTGTTTCTTTGATTTTCTGTGAATGGCTCACATATGTCTATGCTATATCATCCAACATGGTCGTTGCCTCGTTTATAACAGTCCGCTTGCTTTCAATGCCTTCATAACCTCATCACTATCCTTCTGAGCTTGAGACTTGTGCTTCTTGTGCTCACCCGGATCGATATAGTTCACCCAGAACTTGAGACCCTCCAATCCTTCCTCACGGCACAACTCTCCTCGCTCTTCCGCCATCAGCAACTCTTCCTCTGCAACACCAAGACTCCAGCCAAAGCGTTCTGCAGCTTCTTGGGCTGTAACTCCCCTGCCAAACTCTTGCCAGTCCCAAGGCACTTCGCGCTCAGGGGGAAACTCGTGAAGATCGCGGAGCCACGCAAGTATGGCCCTGACTGTGGTGCCGTCGGTACGATCACGAGCCTGGACAACCATGACACCACTGCGGAAGGTGCGCAGACGAACGGGCAGTTTAAGCTTACTCCAGAGTCTGGCAGCCTTCTCGAAGTCTGCTGGACTGACGAGCTCGACACCGCCTCGGGCCCTGTTGAACATAGCCCAGAGATCGACGAGCGTTATGATACCGCCAGCTTTCTTGAGGACCCCTCTCGAGTCATCGGTGAGAAACTCAGCCAAGTTCCTGGCGAGCTCTGACAGATACAGTGATTCAGAACTCCCGCCACCAACAATGTCCTTTGTCGTGACCAGGCCAAGTTGGCTCGCCGATTCCGCCAAAATAGCATTTTCTTCAGCAGATGCGTTTCCTTGCCCGTTATTTGTTTGCCGTGCGAATCGCTCTGCAAGCGCGATGACCTCTTTAGCAGATGACATAAGAGCCTCTAGATCCTCGAAAGCACTGCCTATTAGCAATTCATTGTTCTTGCGCATGTTCAAGCCAAGTTGCTCCAGACCAGCAATACCAACCCCCTTCTGCCGCCCTCCAGGAGTGCCGGTCGGTGTGTCTTTAGATCCGTCATCCGCAGCTCGGCTATTTGGAACAGGAGGCGCATCTCTGAGCAGCCATTTGCGTTGTGTCATAGAGCCCTTGAGTCGCTCATAAAATATCTTCTCGCCACCTCTTCGGAAAGAAATTTTGACACTCTCAGGAGCATCACTTCCATTCTTATTGATTTTGGAGGGGTCCAGTACAGGACCTGGAGAGTCAGTCCTTATGGTCTCGGCTGTGGAGCTTTGCTGGATCGATGATGGGACATTCTGTGAAATCAGGGGCCCACCACACATCTCGCAAGTCATCAAAGAAGGATGATTTGAGAAGGTACAGCGAGGACATTGGAAAGATGCAGTTGAGCTTGAACCGTTGGTAGCATCGGGTAAGCTTGAGGCTGAATTTTGGTCGAGATTCTCAGATAGAGGTCGAGTGCCAGAGTGGGCTGGCCGTAATGGGAGAGGTGCATCCAGAGCTTGTGAGGCTACTGAGCGATTGCTCGCACCAGAGATTGCGGCTTTGAGAACATGTGATAATGTTGGCTTGATACCGCATGCTAAACATGGCGGTAGAGGTGTATGGGCGTTTGCCGAAGTAGGATCAAAGTTCGAGGGGACCGGATTTGAGAAACTGCATATAGTGCAGACCCATGTTGCGCTTGTCACAGCTGGAGGCTCAGGGGGTGCTCTATAAGCAGACTCAGAAATCCCTGGTGATCCAGATAGATTTCTTTGTGAGCTTGATGCGTTCGACAGAGCACGGCTGTGATATGATGATCGCTTTGGAGGCTTTGGTATCAGAGTCACCTTGGCCGATGACTTCAGAAAGCCAGCATAGAATTCGTAACGTTCGACATCTTTCAGATCCAGAGCAACAGAGTGTGTACGAGGCTCCTGCTTATCCACATAGCAGACTCGATGTGAGGTTAAGTAAACCTGCCCATTTTGTTGATTGGGCAGCTTGAATTTACTATCATCGTGTTAATATCAGAGCCTCAGCTTGAGTGGCCAAGAAAAACCTACCCCTCATACAACCCTACGTTGTCCTGAACAAATAGGAGCACCTCATCTGGAAGATACGAGGGCCGTAGAGCTGTAGTAAGGTCTATGTGTTTCAGAAACATCCGTCATGAGGGTGAGACTGAAGCAGAGAGAAGTGAATGTTGTGGCTGTTGATGAATGGATGAGCGATGATGCAAGTGGACGATGACTTGCAGCAAACAGAAGCAAGCTAGAAGACAAACGCTCGATGAATCTTCCAATCAGAGAACATCAACCAAGAGTCGGTATAGCACGGTCTTTGTTTCGACTCCAAGTAGATTCAAAGGTTACAGTGAAGTACTTCAGTATCAAGTGAGTGAAGCAAGGCACGCGAGACTTGATCGGCCCCTCCAGTTAACGGCCCCACTGTTGACGATAAGCTTCCACTCGGCGGATCCTACCTAAACATACCTACACTACCAACACTCACTGAGATTCAGGCAGCGCTTCCGCCGGAGCACGGTTTTTCCGTGAATAAGCAGGGACCACACCGCCACCGCCAGTCTGCTGCCCTCTGACCACGAAAATACCTCCCAAAGAAACCTACGTCCACTCCCACTCCAACCAAGGACCATTCATCATCATCTCGCCTTTCTGCCATTATCCGCCCGGCATCATCTTTTTTCTCCCCAACCCGTTTGTGAAACTAACCACTCGCACCGCTAGCATTCCGACGCCATGATGCCAACCTGGCCAGCGCAGCAAGCGCCGAGCGTAACTCAGCAAACCGTCCCGACATCTTACGCCTACCCAACGAGTAAGTTGTCTTTCGGACTGCCCACAGACGACATCTCCTTCTCTCGCCCGACAGCCCTGACACGAAATGCAGATCCAGCCTTCATTCCCGTAGCCGTTCGTCAAGGATTCAGTCAGTACGCAGCGCCAGCTGCTCCTTATGCCGGCTACGTGCCTCCACAGCCCCCAGTGCAACATCAAATGTCTCCCGCTTCTCCCGTGAATGGTGTAACCCCGACACCTGAGCAAGCCAAGTCCAAAGTGGACTGGCCCGAATCTGTTCGGAGCTATGTTCAAAGATCTTTCCTCCCCCAAAATGACGAACCCACCGTGTCTCGCGCGGAAATCGAGGCTAAACTTAAGAGCACCATCGGTACCGCAAAGGAAAACGGCACGTTATACACGCTCGATTGGGACAACATGCCCCTCCCACAGGCCCTAGTCAAAGCCGAACGTGATGCGGATATCAAGCAGAGTTTCCATGTTCCCATCAACTCCAAGAAGAGGAAATCTACCGATTTTGCCAGTAATGACAACTCCCAGCCTCCGTGGCGTACTAACCCGCGTTCTTCACTTGAGGACCGTATTTCCTATCCTTCCCCCGAAAAGCGTGCTTCCATGGACGAGCCCCTGCCGAAATCAAGTAAGTTCCAGAAGGAAGCCAACAAGCGCAAGCGACGGTTCGAGAACGAATACAAGTCGCTCAGGTCGCCCAGTCCGCCTCCGCCTTCATCTGGACCTATTATTGGCACATGCGAGGTACTTGAGAAGAAGTATCTTCGTCTTACCGCTCCTCCAGTTCCGTCCAAGGTTCGACCTGAACACATTTTGCGTCAGACTCTAGAACTTCTGAAGAAGAAGTGGAAGCGGGAAAGCAACTATTCGTACATCTGTGATCAGTTCAAGTCTATGAGGCAAGATCTGACTGTGCAACATATCAAGAACGACTTTACTGTTTCCGTCTATGAAATCCATGCCCGAATTGCCTTGGAGAAGGGGGATATTGGTGAGTATAATCAGTGCCAGACCCAACTGCGGTCGCTGTATGGCATGGGCCTAAAAGGCAACCCCATTGAATTCAAGGCATATCGCATTCTTTATTTCATCCACACGGCCAACCGAACTGGGTTGAACGATACTTTGGCAGATCTAACCACAGCAGAGAAAGGGGAGAAGCCGATTAAGCATGCTTTAGAAGTGCGATCATCATTGGCATTGGGCAACTATCATAAGTTCTTCCAGCTTTACCTTGACACCCCTAACATGGGTGCATACTTGATGGACATGTTTGTTGCTCGAGAACGGCTTGCTGCGTTGTGCAATATTTGCAAAGCGTAGGTTGCATCCATTCCTTGTTGTTTTTCTTGAGCATGATTTGCTGACTATTGTACAGATACAAGCCGGATGTAAAACTTCGCTTCATCACTGAGGAACTCGGTTTCGAGTCTGATGCTGATGCAGCCCAGTTCATCATCGATCACCAAGGTCGACATTTATTGGAAGACCGAACAGACTACATTGCGTTTATGACCGGGAAAGCCGGTCCCCTCTTTGAGGGCGCGCGCAGCACGGCGTTCCAAAAGGTTGATATCAAGGGCCAGATCTAAACCTTTACTGCTTCTCTCTCGGGTTCTTTTCTTTTTTCCTTTTTGCGTTGCGACTTTCCATCGACGTCTCACGGCCTGAGACTTGAGACTTGACCGTCGTTATGTTTATCGACGAGACATGATGATGCTTTCACATTTGTGATGCGTTTTCATTCATGTGGACGACTCGGCGTTTTATACCCCCCATTTCTGCTTAGGTGGCAAAGAAATGTCTTCCGTTCTACTGCGCACCACCTGGGGCTAAGCTATGCATAAGTCTCTTTTGCAGCTTTGCCTCGGATTTTGATCAATTAACCGTAGCCTCGATACCAGCTTCCATTCTATCGACCGAGGCGACACTTTTTCTGTACGACAAATCACAAAATTGGATTTTGGGTGGGAATTTAGATACAGTGGGCTTGATGGGAAAATCCAGATAGGAGCTCAACATCATCTTGTTCCTGGTACTGTTGGGGTTGGTAATTGGCTTGCGGAGTGTTGGGCGGTCTTGTAATCGCCAGCTTTATCATTGCAAAGTGAATGCGTACTGGCCTCAACAGGAACCAGGACGAGGTTGACAGAAAGAGTTTTGGCGTTTCAGGGAGTTGTGGGCTGGTAATTCTTAACAAGTAGAAATTGAACGTATTCCAGTCTTTTTGAACGAATGATCGAACAATCGATGTTTTTTTATGTCGTGTTGAAATGAAGGGTTGACGTTGAGGTGTTGTACGTGGAATAGCTGTGCGATTGGGTACCTATATAAGACAAACATTTACAGATCCTTGTTGGGAATGTCCGGCTGGACTCGGGGCGCAGTTGGCAACTCTTTCAGAGGCCCTTGTGTCGGCCACGCTGATCGATTGTTCGAATCCCAGGCATAACTACCGCTTCTGTCGTCGTCCCGACGTCAACTACTGTGTTTAAAAATTATAGTGTTTAAATTACTGAGAATCATGTGCTGTCTGAGACAGTAATACCCAGGCCGTCCCTTCTGGTTGAAGGCCGACCGCCCATTGCAAGGCGTAAAATCGCAATCAATGTGTTAAGGCCTTTGGTAGTGCCTTTAAAGTACTGTGGAGATAAGAATGACTTGTGTTGCCCGCGTACGAGAGTCTGGCTGGATGTTTCCTCTATTTTTTTTCTTCGATGTTTTATTTACTACTTGAGTTTTTTTATTAATGTAATTACAAAAGTCTCTATATATTTCTCCACGATATACTTTTTATTTTCACGTCTTTTCCTGCCCTGAACCCATCTCGTAGTGTACTGGTTGATGCTCAGAATGTGAGTGCCCGTTGCGTTTAATCCAGACCAAGAGGTTGGCATCAGCTATCGCCCGCCGCCTTGTGGCTGAGATGCCAATAGCGAAAATGTCCTACTGTGCTCCGAGACTCGGGAACAATGACGAACCCCTGCTGAAAGAGAAACACTGGCCTGAGTGAAAATTTGACATGGAAGCAGGGAGTCCCGAAGTGTCGGGATGGACAGGATCTAATGATGTCTTGGCTCAAGGGAGGGAATAGTGCTTCATTCTTACACAAAGTGTTTTCCAAGACACACACTCAGATCCACATCTACATTTACTTTGAGAAGGGAGAAGAGGTTTCCGTCAAAACAGTTGCAGCTGATCTTCACGAGTCATATTTCCCGGGTGATGCACAGAAACCGTCGTTTTTGAAGCGAACGGGAGATTGACACACGAGATTAGGCCCAGGGCAGCGGTATCCGCAGACGAGACAGCGGCGCCATATTCTATCGTGGTTTTTCTGGCGGGGGACGCTTCCGGTGGATTATCAGCTAAAAGTGAGCAGGGGAGGGGTCGGTCGTGTTGTTGGACTGGATCAAGGAATGAGTTGAATGGAATGAGGATAGGATGACTTGAATACTGAAGATCAACATGTCACCTAAAGAGACAGAGAGGGAGAGAGAGTTTGGAGATACACGATGGTTGCATGTATATGCACTTGTATGTTGATACAGTGGTCCAGTATGATATCATCAGATCAGCCATTAATAACCAAAGCCTATAGACTGGAACGTAGCAAGTCACTGACTGGAGCATCATCCAGCCATGCTCTAACATTCTGGAAATGTGTGCGCGCGGCAGTTGTTTGCATAAACACAAGACAATGGGCTACCAACATCCGGCGTCAGGTGGATATGTCTTTATGCGTAGTGAGGTATGTGGTGGTTCTTTGTCTTGGATAGAGACTGGCATTGATGTTAAGATGTGGTATTATGCCGAATCTTGACCAGGGATATCTGAAAGCCAATGTCAGAGAACGATGGACGAGATGCTGTACTAACATGGCATGCATAAACTGGCTCTCGTTCTCTCAAATCAGTTCATCTTGATTTCTAGAATTGAGGTCGCAGTCCTAGCCTTTGATGCAATGCGATCGCTGCGTGGCCCCCCTGTTTGTTCCATCCATGGGATGGATGGACTGGACTGTGGGCGATGCATCCCTGCCACGCGACGATTTCCCCGTTTTCTCGAGTTACTTGTTACTGACTGCAAGTTGCTGTAAGATCCATGCCGTAACTCACTGCGGAAATTTCCCTTGTGTTATTAGCGTCACCAACGACGTGATGTGCCAACGCCAGAGCTAACGTCTGTATCTGTGTCCGTGTCTGCGTCTGTGCTGTATGTGTATCGGGCATCACGAACGAACAAGAGAGGGGACTTTTCAGTTGGTACATAAACCCACCCATGATCCCTGACTAATTTATCATTTGTCCGCACACCCATGCCCATGCCCATGCCCATGACCGTGGCCCGGGGATGAGCGAGAGAGGAATGAGACGAGACATGGTTGAGCGGTTGGCCCGAGTCAACAGGCCAGGTCGATGCCTTCTTTGCTGATTGTGCATACTGACTAACTACTGCATGTATGAGGGGTAGGGTAGAGTACGATAGGGATTGGCCGTGTAAGCGTTTGCCCGTGGTTGTTTGCACTCTGCAGGTGGTGAAGAGTTATTTTGAGCGTGGAGGATGCGTTTGTGTGGCAGATCTCATGCACAATTTTACCCACTGAGAAAGCTGTCGTGTGCAGTTGGTAGCGCCTTGTAAGCGCTGGACTGACAGTTGACGCCGTTGACAGGGATTGACTGTCGAGTTGAGGGCTTCGAGATGAGCTTGGCAGCTTCTAATAGCTCTAGAGGGAAAAGAGGTTACAGCTAAAGAAGAATAGCTCGGCTTTTGGGATTCATTTAGTTCAAACATGTCAGCTTCCACAGGTGGTGATGCTCTAACTGCCTGTAGTACCAGTAGCTAGCTGGTCAGTCAAAGCTTGAAGCCATTGATTGGGATTGGATATGAGTGTTGGCCATTCATCACTGACCACCAACCAGAGCCATTCAGGTACTCTACAGTCATTGAGGTAATTTGCGATTTGTGACTTACGATTTATCCTTTCGCATTTTGCTCATCTCTTCCTCCCTTCTCTCGACGCCATCTCCATTTCATGACATCTCTTGGCCAGATTCATCCCCTAAAACCACTTACAAGACGTCGCTGGCAGGCGCCAAGTTGTCAGAAGCGACCCCTCCATCAATCACCCCACCTTGAGAGCCTGAACCCAAGCCCAGGAGAATTATTAATTTCACCCTCCATCTTCTCGCTGAGGAGCCCAGCCTTACCTACGGTAGCTATTTCACCTTGAACGTTGAAACTCAAAGGCGCCCACAGCTCGCGCCAATATCACGTTAAAGGGAACCCAAGGCGAAGGCCCTCTACCTTTAGTCTTGGGTCGCTGATTATCGTACGCGTCGAGGGTCACAGATCCACGGACGTTGGATTCCCGAGTATCTGATCAGTCACAGTTATACGGCTGCACCAACCAAAGTCATCAGGTCATTAATAAGAAGCAAAAGAGGCAAAGCAAGGCAAAGAAAAGCAAGCAAATACCAGAGTTGTCCCTTTTTATTTCCAGCCGCCAACTGCTATTTTTTCTCCCTCTCATCAGCCTCTCTCACAACCAAAACTTACACAAATCGCTTCCACAACGTTCGATCCACTCGAGGGAACATTGCCCAGCCCACTCTCAGGCTACTTCGCCCCCTGGCGTGTACTCCGTACCTCACATTCGCGCTCGTTCGTTCGTTCGCTCGCAGCCCAATCTTTGTGGTGCTTGTGTGTGTGTGTGTGCAACCCCAGGCATTCGCTGTAAGGTACCCTACCTTTACCTCGGAGGGCCCAGGTCCCTCCCTCCCTCTCCTCCTCCACTCCAACGGCGCTGCTGCTGCTGCTGCAACCGCCACAACTTGGTGTTCTGCCCGTCCTGCACCTCGCTGCCTTGCCCGTGCCCGGTCTAGCGGTTAATAGAGGTACTGCTACTGTAAGGTAGGTAGCGTACATACTGTACCTTTGCCTTGCCTTGCCTTACACCAAACATCGGATTGGATCGAAATAAGGTAGCCCAGCCCGCCGCTGTGTCCCGCCGGGTCGTGTCGTCGTCCCTCTCGTCTCGTACATACTTTTAGTACCTACCTTACCTGGCTCAGGTCGTCTCGTCTTGCGATCCTTTTCCTAACAACCTCCACCTTCGAGCGATTCACAACTTCCCAACTTGCAACTGCCCAGGAGGCATTTCAGTTACACAAAAATGAAGGTTCGTCATCGCCCCTTTCCCTCCCGTCGCTCATGCCTCTTCATGCAGCTGCCTGAGGTGCCATCCCATATCTCTCTATTGTATCATGCCGTGCTTTGCCTCCAACTTCTCGTGCCTCACAAGGCGTTATTCCCATCTTCTCAGCTGCCTGAGCCAAACCCCCTCCCCCGCCGCATTCAGCACGTCTTCGCTCATATTTGCGCCGGCCTCGCTGGCTGCCCGAGAAACATTCGAGTCAAAAGCTAACAGTTATGCGCTTCGTGCAGGCTCTTCGACGTTCGATCAAAGGTGACAAGGACAAAGGATCCGTCGCTCCCAAATCGGCTGTCGCCATTGTTCCTCCAAAGAAGGTTGGTGGCCTCCCACTCCCAAGCCAATCTCAAGCCTCAAATCCTATTCAATTATGGATTGCCACATTTGGCACAGCCCATGGTTCTACGACAAACCTGACTTCAATCACTGAGCCTATACGCTGATGCCCAATCTAATTTGCAGGTCATTCGAGCTCTTTACGATTACGAGGCACGATCGAGCCAAGAACTGAGCTTTTCGAGAGGCGACTTTTTCCACGTTATTGGCCGCGAAAACGATCAAGATTGGTACGAAGCATGTAACCCAGCTCTCCCTGACGCCCGGGGTCTCGTCCCTGTCACCTTCTTTCAAGCGCTTGGCCGAACCGAGAGAGATAGCGCACAGTCCGACGGTGGCCAACTCCCCACTCCGACAAAGAACCCCGACCACGATTCTGGATACAGCGAATCTCCAGCAATGCAAACTGCGCCAGCCGTCATGTCACCCACTACAGCCGTGCCTCAGCAAGGCCATCAGCGTAATTCGAAGTCGGTTGGAAAGTCGGGCGCCATGGTCTACGGAATTGTCATGTACGACTTTGCTGCGGAGAGGGCAGACGAGTTGGAGGCTAAAGCTGGCGAGGCCATCATCGTCATCGCACAATCGAACCCCGAGTGGTTCGTGGCCAAGCCCATCGGTCGATTGGGTGGCCCAGGGCTCATCCCCGTTTCCTTTGTCGAGATTCGTGATATGGCAAGCGATAAGGCAATTGCAAACCCGGGTGACGCCATAAAGCGTGCTGGTGTTCCAAAGGTGGAAGAATGGAAGAAGATGGCCGCGGAATACAAGAACAGCAGCATCACGCTGGGCAAGTTTGAGGGAGGCGGCCCTCAGCAACCTGGGCAGGGCATTGAGCAAGGCATGGAACGAATGAGCATTCAGCAGCAGCATTCTCGACAACCTTCTCAGAATGGAGCGCAGGCCGGATACGCATCTCAACCTCGAACATCGCAACAACCTCAGCAAAATCATGTACAGAAGCCGGTCTCACAACTCAACGCACCGCTACAAGCGCGCATACCGCGATACTGCTTTGCAGAGGATAAGTACTGGTTCGTGATCGAAGCACTGCTAGAAGACGGACGACAGTGGGAGCTGTCTCGCTATTACGAGGACTTTTACGACTTCCAGATCGCTCTTTTGACCGAATTTCCAGCTGAGGCCGGTAACACAGGGACACAGAAGCGTACACTGCCGTACATGCCTGGACCAGTCAACTATGTCACAGATGCAATCACCGAAGGACGCCTCCATAACTTGGACGCGTACGTGAAGAACATGCTGAACCAGCCCCATTACATTTCGAGGTGCAACCTGGTGAGACAGTTCTTTGCACCCCGCGAAGGAGATTACGAGATCGATCCAAACGACAACGAAGAGGAGTACCGCCTGTCACAAGCATCACAGCTGTCATCGGCCGAGTCCCCAGCTGGTGGATCACAGAACAATTTGAACGGCAGCACATATGGCCTTTCAGCTGCACCAGCGCATCAGATGGGCCCAGGTTCCCCTGATATCCACAGACAACCATCTTCTTTGTCACAACCCTCACAAACGTCTCTCGGTAACGGTATGCAACCCCAGGCTCAACCAGCATCAGCAATGAAGATCAAGATGTATTTCAACGGGGATCTCATTGCCATCCGAGTACCAACAGACATCTCATTCCAAGCACTTTATGAAAAGATTTGTGATCGTCTGAAGGTGCCGGCGGGTCAGGAGGTCCAACTGTTTTACAAGGACGAGCCCACTGGAGATAAGCCAAGTATGCTTAGTGACAACGACTTGGACTATGCTCTGCAGCGGAACGAGAAGCTTCTGCTCTATGTGGAGGCCGTGTGAAGTGCCCTGCCCACTGGAGATGACGACTGCGGTGTTTCAGCTTGATTGTAACGCTGCATGGACGGAATTGAGTTGACAGTCAAACCGAAAAGTCCACCAAAGAGCGTCGGGGTGTGCACTGACGTCGTATATTCTTGTTCCCGAACCCTTGCCTGTATAGTACAGTACAGACTCCGGCCCTCCACTTCGAAACCGTGCGTTCTTCTCTTCCTTGATGGATCTACAATTTCTCATGAGTCCCCAATGGACGACACGCATAACCTCAACCAACACTTTTTTCCTTTCTTTTTCTTTGTCCCCCTTTTTCTTGTCCATTTTATTCTACGCGGATTTTATGACGACACGTCGGCGAGGAACTTGATGCTTCTTTGATACCATTTTATTAGCTGGATGACGCATAAGTTTCATGACCAGTGTACCTGACGCTCGTTGTCTCTTCTTTGGGCATTTCCCATGCCCCCCTATTTGCTCATCTTTTGAAAACTTTCTTCTTCACATGTGTATTCAGGCGGGTATATGGCCTTTTGAATGCTCTTTTGATATCACACGACTGAGCTTAGTGCTTTTCTTCCCTTGACTTTTTATCTTCTTCTGTACTTCCTCACCGAAAGTGACAGGGCCTGGAGGGGGCATTCGGGATATGGGGTTGATAGTTGGTGGAGGTGATATGCGTTGCAGTATAGGGGAAGGGGATGGTTGGGGAGGTTCAATTAGGTGGTTCCAGCAAGCCGCATTTAGAAGCCTATAGGTTCCAAATAGCGGGCATTACTGGTGTCGCGAAAGGCTTGCATTGCAAGGATCTCGAGGATCAGAGGAGGCAAGATACATATATCTTGGCCTTGGTGGTGGTGGTGGAGGTGGAAAGCAAAGATGAGCGCTCATGAGCGTGATGAATGAAAGCGACAATTGTGTTATTTTGTGTAAGCGATGCATGTGAAGATCAATTGCAATGGTGTTTGTCTGTAGTTAACAACAAAATGCATTTCTCTCACTTGAAGGTCTGGGTCGAATTGCTTAGGTTAGACAAGTTTCTCATTTAATCGAGTTGGCCGTATCAGACTTGACTCTTCCCGTCGCTACCCAGTATCCTGTCTATCGTGTTCTAGAAGTCTATTATGAGTGATGGATCGTCATCGTATGCTCTTTTGTATTCCACCATCCGTAGAAAAACCATGAGATGTAAGATTAACTCCCGATGCCGTGGATCTTTACAAGATCAAACAAGTAAATGCAAACATAGTCACGTAGCCTCGTAACTGTAAACGCCTGAAATCAAGAGAATCTGCAGAGAAACGCTTCTCTTGCAGTGTGAGATGAGACGCTGGATCTGAGTCCGTCTACTCCAGCTTGGTCATGAGATTCTTGCGAACTTTCATGTTGACGACACCACCGACGCCAAAAGCAGGGACAATTCGACATATTCTCGCGACAGAGCTGATGAACCAGTTGCGCCGCACAAGATCTAATCGATCACGCATCGTCACGACAGCTCCTCCGGATCCAGTCGCTTGACGATTGTATAGGTCTAGACCGAACAAATGCATAGGCGTAGAAATGAACTGCACCATAGCAGGGGCCATGAATTGCGCTGCATAAAGCCCAGAAACTCTCTTCTTCATCTCCTCGGAAAACCGCTTATCCAAATACGGCCCCAGCAAAGGCGGCACATTGAACGACGCAAAGATGGTCAAGCAATCGCGCAGCGCAAAGAGAGTGTATGAAGCGAGAGGGACAGGTCTAGGGACAACACCAGGGGGACCAAACATGCGCACAAAGACCTGGTCTTTGTAGATACAGACTCCGATGTTTGCGGTGCTGGACGCAGCGAACTTTGTGGTTCCGGCTGTGACGCTCGAGGCGGGCTTGTTGTTGACGGTCGAGAATGAGGTGTCGACGGCGTTGGCGGTGAGATATGTTCCGCCGTAGAGGCAGAAGATGAGCGCTGTAGGCTTGGAGAAGAGGATTGTGTGTGGGCGGGTGAAGAGGGTTCGGAGGGAGGATTTGACTGAGTTTGCGAGGGTGTTTGCGCCGGAAGCGTTTTCCATGATGGAGCTGTCATGATGTCAGAATTTTTTTTTTGGGGGGGTCTGGAGTTTGGAGTTTGGCGATGTCGGCGTGTCTCAGAAACATGGCATAGGATATGAATGGTGGTGATAATGCATGGTGCATGGTGCATGGCATTTACTGACCGGTCGATAATGGCAATGATGGGCGCTACCATGGAAGCAGCGCTCGCAGCGGATAGAAAGTCAGTGCCGAGTCGTGATATCAAGTTCTTGGTATTCCATGTGTTTTTGGTGGTGATCTGCTCGGGCGTAGTTGTCCCGGCGAGAACCAGCGCCGGCGCATCAGAGTCTTTCATGATGATCCAAGATCTGATCTCTTCTCCTCCTTTCTCTCTTGGTGATGACAGACTGTAACTCGCACAGAAACACAGGGAAATACAACATCAAAGTCTGGCACGAAGAATGAGATGACGGAGATGGGTATGACGAAAAGAAAACAGGTTCCTGGGGGAATAAAAGGAAACTAGAAAAAAACCACGAGATAAGTTGATGGGAGGTTGTAGACTAAGTTAGTAGTAGACCCCCCGAAGCAACCCTTTCAGTGGATAAACGTTGAAACTGCATGAACTAGCGGTGCGCGGTAGCTGCTAATTCCCATGCGCTGGTTGGGCACCGCCTGAGCTCTGCTCTACTTTGGGGGTTTTATTTTAGTAGGTAGGTAGGTAGGTAAGGTAGTTAGCTGAAGCGAAGCTCTTCTGACTGTCTGAGTCTGGGGGTGCGCCGATCTCGGCGGGGACTTCGGAGCCGTTGCCGAGTTTATGAGGGACTCAGATAGATATCAGCGGCTTGTCGCGGATGCTAACGATTGATACCGGAAAACTGATAGATGCTGTTTGAGTATAAGGAATTTGATACTGGCAACAGTAGTTTACGAGATGTGTTCAAATTGCATGGTTGGTTACTATTTGCTGCGCATTGTGTAACAGCCAACAAAACTCACGCTCAAGCCCACGTTGAACACCAAGATCAAAGCTCTCCCATCACGCATAAAACACCAAAAATCACACATAACAAACAATATACAGAAAAATGTACGACCTTGGTAACTTTACCGCTATATGATCAAAGCCGTCTCAAACTCACTAGACCATCCGCCTTCCTCCCCCGCAATGCTCTCCATTCTCTATTCTCCATGACTACACGCCATCTTCCCCACGCCGACGTTTGCCGCTCACCGGGAGCTCTACCTAGGTAGTAGGTGTTCCTCGCCCAATCTCGTTGCATATCGGGTCTTATCTTTGGCAAATTCAAAGACTCTGCAGGTCACCCCATCAAACTGATTCAGCCCATATGCAGGCACCGCATCTACAGGGTGATCACCGTTTGCCAGCCCCTTCAACGGCATAAACCGGCTCTAACTTATACCCAAATTCTACGGCCAACACAAACATATGGTTCAACCAGCGCGGAGTAGGAGAACCATGCATATCATTCTCGACATTCGCAGAGTTTCATTCATTGCCAATCGTAAAGACATTTTATTCATAGGGAATGTAAGAATTCTCGATCTAATGCTACTAATAACTCCTAACAATCTCATAAACAATGCAAACTTGACGAATCCAACACAAGCTTCTTCGAGGGCACCAGGTTGTGGGGTCGTTGCCAACTCGTATCCTATCCCATTCTTAAACGGCCTGGTCCACAAGCACAGCACATGTCCAGAGCCGCTTCTCTCCGTCTCTCCACTGCCACTCCCAACATCATGCCAATTCTTCTGGAACGCTTCGCTGCCGGCCCCTCTGTTGGAATACCCACTCTTGACCTCGACCGATGAGACCCGATCAGAGAAGAGCCCAAATCCAGATGTTCCAATCTTCCAAAGCTGTCAAGGACCGGCCCGATCACCAAAAGCCCGCAGCTAGGCGGGAGTGGTACCTGTACTTGAGCTTCCACCGTCGTTTCCACTTGCTTGCTTCTCCTGCATCGCCGTTATAGCTGCAGTGAGTTGATCGATCTTCCGGTTTAGCTCAGTGAGCTGCACCTCCATGGCTGTTGGCGCATCCACATCATCCTCACGCACCTCGATGCTCCTACCATTCGCTCGTCCTCTAGGAGAAAGCGTCTGGCGACCGACATTGGACTCAGATCGCTTCTGAGCAATTGCGTGCCTACCGTTGCGCCGAGAAGAGCGCGATGGACCCTTGAACCCAGCAAATTCATCTTCTACGGCTCCTGGCTTTCGATACATCTCGTACAGCTTGATGATGCCAACAATGGGCCAATGAGTCGCCTTGAGGAGCATGATACGCCCAGCACGGAACTTCTCATCGGCCGTGAAGAATAGACGCCAAGGTCGGAAGAGTACCAGGGCCAGCAGGTTGAAAGGAGGGAAGAAATGGGTGAGTCGGTTACTAGTCGACGCTTCCAAGACGTAGACGCTGTACACATACAGGTACTCCTCCTTAGCGTGGGTGATAACCCGCGAGAAGCTGTTGGACAGCATACCTGTCAGGGAGCCCATCAACAGGAAGCTAGAAAGTGTAATGAAGATGATCATCAGAGGAGGTCCAAAGAAGGGATCGATCTGGTTCATTATCTCGAATCCGATGGGCGCCGAGCCGTAAAATATCTTTGTCAGGATCCAGGCCATGGACTTGAAGGCAAAGACATTGCGACCCACGAGCGAAAAGGTGGTCAGGAAACCACAATACACGACAACAACAAGTACCATGTATTTGAAGAAGTCCTTGCCCATCTCCTTCAAGCATGGAATGAGCGTGCCCCAGGCAGGGCTGAGACTGAGAATCGAGAAGATACGAGGAATCATGAAGAGCGCCTCAAGTGCCAGAATATCAAATGCAAGGTCGTTCAGCTCGGGTTTGTTCTGAACAATGCCAATAATACCTACTTGTGTCAGCATGTCATCACTTTGTTGAAAGGACCAGATTTCTTACGCAGAACTGCAAAGGCGAACCCGATGGCGATCATGAT